CTTTTTGTGACGTTGTTACGGATAGGAGGAGAAATATTGTTCCAACAACGAGTGGCTATTATCACGTCCGTGACATTGCAGATAAACCGCAAGAAAGCCGCCTACGTTGGTACGGCCACATCTTACGGAAACCGGCATGCTACGTGGGAAACAAATGTCTGGCTATGCCACCTCCGCCGGGCCCCGGTAGAAGGGGCAGACCCAAGAAGTGCTGGCTTGACGTCGCCAAGGGTGATATGCGTGCCAATGGTCTCACCACTAAGGATGCCGAAGACCGTGCAAAGTGGAGGAGAAAAAGCAGGAAAGCGGACCCCGGGCTCCGCAGCAACACTGCTGAGGACGCAACCGGGACAACGCTCAGATGAGAGAGAGAACGAGTGGCTATTATCAGAAACTCCCTCTAAATGCAGTGGTACTACGCCGGAGGTTATAATAAGAAACACCATTGACGACCTTGCTCCAAAGCAAGTAAAGCTGTTTTAAAGTAAAGTCTCGTTCGTAATCCCTTATTTACCCCCTTAATAATAAATAGTTATTTATATCTACTGCCTGTTACAGTGTAAAAGAACTGCGTCAGTAAATCATTTAGTAAAATTAAAACAGTATTAAATTTATTGATGTTGTGCTACCATGAAACTATATATTTGCCTACGTCATTATACCATGATATTGATAACGCCCACACTCAATATAGATAAAAGAAAAGGTCATAATTATTATACAAAGATCGAACACACAGAAAAATTTCTTCGACCTGATGGAACTTAGCGTAGCATTGCTCAGAACAACTGAGCTACAGTTCGAGTAGTCGAAATTTCCTCCGTGATTTTGTTAAAGATCTTTGTACTGGATTTTTCGGCATTCTGAACCGCTAGTGACATCTAGTGAGAAATTTTGGAACCTTCTTCGCCATAGCCGGTACCTTTACAGGTGCCACGAGCCAAAGAAAATCATAACAAAAGTGGTGGAGTTATATTACAAAAAAATCTCGATAATATAAAAGAAAAAGTACTAAAAACAACGCTCCAGATCCCTATCCCCTCGTTCTCCGTCTGACATCTGTCCGAAACAATTATACTGTCAAATAAGCAATGCTCGATCGAATTAAAAGATGCATGATGCGAACGAAGCATCATTCTTGACATTGTCATTTAAATTGTTCGTGTATTACTTCATCGTCATCATCAAGCAGCTACACCATCCGTCTTTGAATTTATGCCTCCTCCACATCTCTCCATTTATGTCGCTCCCGTGCCACATGCATCCAGTTGCGGCCCGAGAAAATTCTAATGTCACCCATCCAACGAAGTGGCGGACGTCGTGGCGCGCGTGTTGGCCCATGGTCGTCACTCCATGATCCTCCTTGTCCACCGATTTGGATCCATCCTAGCTATGTGTCCTGCCCATTACCATTTTATCGTCTCAATTTTGCGTACAACGCCCCAGTCTTTAGTTAGTCCCTGAGTATTACTTATTTGACAGCAATTGTTTCAGGCAGAGAACAAAAGAGACCTAACCACGGAAAAATTCGAAACACATATCGACTTGTATGAGCGCTTGTGCCGACGTCGGTACACGCAGCGGTAGGCACTTATCGCGGAACCTTGAGCGTGTGACGCAGCCCTGCCTAAACCCACGCCTGGGACGTACGTACTAGGGTTGATGATGACGAAACAAAATGTCATGAAAACAAGTTCAATTCTTGTTTTCGTTTTGCCAGTGCCTCTACCACGAGTTAACTGTGACATTTGTCGCTAACGACCGCGTAAATTACTTCACAATTTTATCTGAATTATATAGTATATAGTTTTAGTTAGTTTGTGAAGTATATAGTTTGTGTAAATTATACAGCGCCCCTAGCGGTCACAAGAAGAAACAACATTTTGAATATAAACATTTTACGCCGTCGCTAGCGATAACTGTCACTGTAATCTCATGGTAGAGGAACTGGTCTCAAACTAGGAAATTCTCTATACTTTAAATACCTGATGCAGACGAGAACCAGTTTAAAAAAGTTCATTTTCAAATTGGATCCGAACAGAACCCCGATTCAGAACTCTTCGATATTTTAACCAAATCATTCGATTGGATATCGTTCTCGAATCGAAGGGCCATTCAGAACATTCGAGTTAAACGTTCTTATCAGGGGGTCTACTCTCGATCGCCGTCCGAAACAATTACTGCCAAATAAGCAATAGTTGACCAAATGAGAAGACGCGTGATGCGAATGAAGCTTCATAATGGATGCTTGTCTTTTAATTCGTCTTTAAATTTTTAATCGTTATCCAACAGCGTTTATGGAGTTAGTCAGTGAAATAGATTATTAGAAAAATAAAAATCCTTTTATATACTTTTTAAGACTTTAAAGGCCTAAAGTATGGGAATGCATTAGTCTTGCACTAAAATAAATTAATAAAATTGAACAAAATCCAGACTTTATTTAAAATAATAAGAGACATTCTTGCTTTGTAAACAATAGGCTTAGAATAATAACGCATAGAATGATAGTTTCATATCAAACGAACTGTCACAAGTGAGGCAAAAATCAAATTCATGTAGGCTAGTTTTAGTAGTAGGTCAATTTTCGGTTTTAGTGAATATTTATATAAAAATACAAGTTGAAACCCGTTACTTCCTTGTAGAATGTGATGTTAGTATCTATTTTATGTTTGTCTGACGTATTTTTACACTCATTTACCGCACATTTCTTCATTTTTAGCTAAAATTCTTGAGCCGTTCGCGGTGCAAGTTGACCTTGAGCACTGAAGGCCCGCCCGCTCGTGTAGGCCCATTGGGCGCGCTTCAATTTGCCTCACTTAGCGTGTGCGGACTAGGTTTCTATGCGTTATTATTCTAAGACAACAGGATGTTCCGTAACTTTCATTCAGGCTTTTGCCAATCGAGAAGTTCGAAATCGTACGACTGTGACGTCATTTCGGTTCGACTTCGAATACGACAGTTTGACGTTCGATTCGGGTGTTATGAACAAAAATGAAAAGAAATCGTACGATATCAAATCGAATCCCTCGACAACAGAGTTATCGTAAGGTTCTGAATGTACCCCCAGGTTCGGAACCAGGACCTTTCTAGTTCACATTGCTAACAGCTAGGTCACCGAGACTCATGCTGATAAATGACGTCGGTGCACTCAGCGGTAGGCACTTATCGAGTAACCTTGAGCAAGTGACGGCTCTGCTATTATTAACTACGTAAATAATGTTTTGTCTTCAAATATGTTTTCTTTATTATGTCTATCTTTTGTTTACAAACTTATTGTTTTTGTTTTGTTAGAACAACAGTTATTTTTGGTTTCTTTCCTATTTATCTTCTAATGTTATCATTCTCTTTAATAACGATGGTTTCCAATAAACAGTAATAGTTTTATATGTATTTGCGATAAGGTAAAGATAAACCAATACGATGGTATTTTTCACATGCAGGGGGAGAATGAGAGATAGTCTTGAAGTAATGTTCTGTTTGCTTGGTTTTTACAAACTATGCAGTCCATATATTAGTTACTCAAAAAATTAGCAGGCTCTTAAAATTTTTATTTATTCATATAATGGTTCACTAACACGTAGTTGTTAAAACAGTATACACATAAATTCAGTGTGGCGGCTCTCATATCTAATGCCACAAAAATTTAATAAATTCTTATTATATACAGCTTATAAAGACAATATCTATAATCTAGAAAGTGATCTAAAAAAATTAAGAGATCCTAGGCTATATCAAACTAAAAGGAGGAAATGTTATTATTATTATTCCTAAACGACGACCATTAAGCCTCAGCCAGTAGGTATTACTTCTTTTCTGTACAAGCAAAATAAAAACTAATATGACAATCGTCCTCTGTGCCATTTCTATATCCAGCAGTAAATGACCGACAGGATGTCGGCTGACAAGAATGAAGTCAATACAGAACAGGCGCTTATCGCCTTTCCCAATAAAACTAGGTAAATAATTAATTATGTATAAATATTAGACAACATGACATAAATTGCACTGATCCCAAAGTAAGTAAAATAACGAGACAACGACGCGACGGTACCACCAACACTCAGACTCGTGAGTACTCGAGATAATATACAAAAGTTAGTTTTTCAATACTGACCCGGCCGGGAATCGAAGCCAGGACCTCAGAAATGGCGACTCCATGAAAACGGGAGTGCATGTCCACAAAATTATATTAATACAAAGAAGAGGCTTTGTGATAAAATCTTTGTCTGCTACACTAAAGTGGTTGTTCTTTAAATTATTTCCATTGGGGAAAAGGCTAAAGAAAAATTTTTCTTTTGCTACTTTTAAATGAGTAAAAACGTGTTTTATAGTGATGAAAATCCGTAACGGAAATAATTTAAACGACAGCATGAATATCCGTCATCAAGATGGAATAAATCGTACAAAACTATTTATTTTCACTCACCTATGTTTTTGAAACTTAACGATATCAAACAGTTCTAGGTTGAATAGACCCATTGATTTGGCCATTCTTATTGTTATCCTGATTTGCAGTAATTAATAGTAGATGTTAGGCATATTCGCATCTACTTGAAGTTCAGATGGTAGAACACATACGTTTTTTTTGGAAATATAGACCGAAAATGATTAAAAGAAAAGGAAATTTCAAAAACCGTGTACAAATAGCGATAATCCATATTATGGTAATAGTGTTCAACGTATTCTGTGGAAGCGGATTAGCGAAAAAAGATGAAGACACAATTTACATACTGTTATGGACGACTAAACATGATACGCCCTTCAGCTCTTTGGAAATGGGAAGACTATCTTTTGTCAGGAGGAACTGCACGTTTCAAAACTGTTACGTCACGGATAAAGCTTCGTATTTTCACGATATATTAGAATTCGACGCCATTTTGTTCAACATATTAGGTATGTTTATGAATATAGAGATACCATACAAACGATCTGTGACACAGAATTATATTTTGGGGTCAATAGAACCTGCTGGCTTACACAAGGTACCTGAGAAATTCAATATGTTTTTCAATTTAACCTGGACATACCGCCTGGATTCGGACGCTGTGTTTCCTTATATTGTCATAAAAAATGATCGCGATGAGATAATTGGACCTAAATTGGACATGCATTGGATTGATATCAAAGATATGAATTCAACGAGCGAGTATGTGAAGAATAAATTGCAAAAGAAGCGTCTTGCAGCGGTGTGGTTTGTGTCGAACTGCGAGGCAAGTGAACGCCTTGAGTTTGTGGGTGAATTGCAGAAAGAGCTGGCGCGATACGACCACCGCGTGGATGTTTTTGGCAACTGCGGAGACAGGTTTTGTCCAACCGAAAACATGGACAGTTTTGACGAATGTTATGCCCTCGTCGAATCATTTTATTACTTTTATTTGGCATTTGAGAATTCTTTCTGCGAAGACTATGTCACTGAAAAGATATTAACTGGATTGGAGCATTTTTCAGTGCCAGTTGTTTTTGGAGGCGCAAATTACACCAGGTAAACCACACAGGGCTTCTGTTGCTATAGTTACTTATTTGACATTGCAAACAAGAACATATTTCTGCATGAGATCATTAATTTTATAAATCATGCAATATCGTAAATTGTGACTCGTGGTAACAATCCAAAGATTTACTAATAACCACCTATCACATGCCTCACCTTCCTTTGGTCACTGAATTATATGTTTCAATTATTTACATTGTCCCGGAAGGGAATGGAAATTAGTTTTTATAACAAAATTATACATAACATAATGATTAATATCAATTTAGTAACATGCAAACGAAATACAAGAAATGTAGCTGTGGGCAATTTTCGAAACAGCGCGAGACTGTTGTTTGGTTCGCATCCAGTTTGTACCTTACACAATGGACATTAAGTTCATTATGCTATGGTTACAAAAACTCACTTCCGTTACATTCCGCAGTACTGTAAATTTAGCTTATTGAACAGGAAAAAGTACCTTTTCAATGAAGAAATCAAGTCAACGCGTGAGTGAAAAGCGATCATTAAATGGGTTGTAATAAGAGCTCCGAAAAGTAAATTTAAAATGAGCGTATTCAAATTATGAATATTGCAGCGTTACAAAAATTTTAATTTTAATGCAAATAAAAATACGGAAACAACCGAATGAAGTGCTAAAGCTCCGAAAGATTTTGCTTACGTAATAGCACTCTGCCAACTTAATTTCTACTCTACGGCAAACTATTTTACACATTTTTATCGTAAATTGCTTATTTTAAATTCAAAGCCTACTTTATGCAATGCATTAATTTTGGTTCTTGTTAAAGCAGTCTATCGCGAATACGAGTTTAGGAAATGTTTCTATATTATAAATTATAATGTATTATTCGAAAGTATAATAAAAAGTATAATATAATTTTCGTTTTTATACCATCTGGCCCTGCAGCTTTCCTATTTTTTATATTATTGACCGCTTCTTTTACTTCATGCATACTTATCTCTTCCACCACCCCTATGTTAATCGGTGCATTCTCTAACACTGCACTCCACACATTTTCTTCATTCATTAATCGACTAAAATATTCTTTTCAGCGATCATTTATCTCTCTATCCTTCGTAAAAACCTTTCCTTCATCATCTTTTATACATTTGATATGGATAATATCCCTAGCGTTCTTCTCTCTTGCTTTCGAAAGTCGGTAAAGGTCTTTCTGTCCATCCGGGCTCTCCAGAGATTAGATTACAGTTAGCTTTGGTACGCTGCGCTGCAATTCTATCTGTTTTTTCGAACCTTAATAATTTCCCTCATTAAATGTCTTGTATATTTTCAGATTTATGCCTGAAGGAACATTCTTGCGAGCACATACTTTAGGGCCCGCTAAACTGGCAAGAACAATGGTGGATATAATAAACGATAGAAATAGATACCAGGACTTCTTTAGATGGCATGGATATTACAGTTTTCACCATACAGCTGAAAACAACTATCTGCATGAAATCTGTGCACTCTGTACTATGCTCAACAATGAGACATTAGTGAAAAAGAAAAAAGTATACAACACCAACGTGTGGTGGAATGAATGGTATAGTGGCCCTCCGCCAGACGACGGCAGGATTCATCTTTTATTAGACAACGACAAACCAAAGCCGGGCATCGCTGGACTTGTGTCGAACATTTACAATTACGTTTTTGAGTGATACTTGCTGGGCTTTGTAGAAAAAAAAGTTTCCACGTCCTAATTTCACGTGTACGGGAATGAACTTTTGTTACTATGTCCGTTCGACTGGAGTTCATTGTCCGCTAGCAGCGTTAGCCAAAAGTTTTTTGACTGGATATTGAAAATAGAAATATAAAAAATTGTTACCAAAGTTTCAGTCTTTGTTTATCTTTTTTTTATATAACACCAAGTGACGAGAAGAACAAGTCGTGGTCCTGGTGGGTGGTAAGCCTTTCTACATACCGAGCTCGCCGACCCGGCGACACATCATGTCATGGGATTAGATTAGAAATAAGGCCGCCGACACCAACCCGGGCTGCGTCGCTGGGTCGGTGGGCTCGGTGTGTCTTTAGCGACACGCCTGCCCATAACGATTGTAGTGCCACTCAAAGCGTTAGAATTCATTGCTTGATACCTTCATTACTTATACGAATATCGCTTGTACATCTAGAGATAAAATGATCCCTGGGACATTTCAGAGCGTCATTTCTCGGATTCGAAACAGTGGACTTAGTGCACGAACGCTCTGAGACATAAGTTGGCAAGTCTCATGAAATCTCCATAGTATCATAGTGTAATCTACATAGTATGATAGCTCTTTTTTTGCTTGATATATATATATATATATATATA